ACTAATTGACAAAATACACAAAAATGCACCTAAACCTAGACTCTACATATAAATTAATGCAAAAGAGAGCAAATAGGGGAGGAGAACAAAAAATAACGCCTGATATATAAAAAAGAGGGAGGCAGCCGCAATTCACAAAAAGAGACCCTCCCCCATCGATCTCCTTCAACCATCCAAACGACCAGAGACCCTTCACCAACAGCTGCTTTACCACCTGACCCCGCCGTTCACACCACCCCTGCAACCCATCTGTTAGGGATATAGTAGATATGCCCTAGATCCAATATCATATTTGATGATCTGAACATATTTTTTGTGAACATTATTTGATATAGAATATATATGGCATTTGATATTCTTTTATCATTGTTATTAATTGCTTGATTAATTTGATAAGGTCCTTGATTAAATTTTGAGACTTGACATTGTGATGGAGATCATGATAATGAGAGTAAAGTTTCTTATAATTTAATCTAAATTTGTTCTTGATCGTAGGATTATTAATTTGGACATTAGTAATCCGGTTAGATCAATATTTATGTGATCGTCTTTATGGGATAAAGATTAGTTGATCTCATTAACTAAATTACATAGATAGATGATGCATATAGAGATATGGTCATTGAACCGACTCATTGGATAATTCCTAATGGTTAGAATTACCATAAACTGTCAATAGGATATTCTCTTGAAGAATGTGATGTAATAATTTCCTTTGACTTGAGATCGTCATAGTAATTGACAAGTTATTTATTGTGCTTTGATACCAGACACCTATGGCCCTAGGGCGATAGTTGAAAGGATATTGGGTACGATTAAATACTTGTAGAATTAGTGATTGATCAAGATGGAATCTGTCAACTCTTGGTAATGAGTTTAAGCTCCATGTTGTCATGAATTATAAACGACCAAACTAAGACCTTGGCCAGGGCAATTGAATGAAAGAAGAAATGAGTTTCTTAGCTCATTCAATGGTTGATTATATTTGACATGAACACATAGTTGGTCGCCTATTAGGATTTGACAGTTGAACCATATCCTAGGGTGATCCAGAGCTATAAGGACAGAAGGAATTACTACATTATTCTTCTACTGGTTCTTGAGAGTAAATGTATACTTCATTCTATCCTGTCGTTAAGGAGTGTTGCTAGACGCCACCCTTGATTAGTATATTGATATGATCAATTTACTACCGGTTTAGTATTGAACCTATGGGGTCGCACACTAACGAGTGTTCTGATCTTTGCTAAAGGATTAATTAACTTATTATTTGATAATTAAATTGTAGAATTTAATTAGTCAAATAAATTTAGTTATTAGTCCAAATGAAATATTGTTATATTCTTTGCTAGCACAGAGGATATAATTAATATTGTCGAAACAAATTGAAATTTTCTAATTTGGATTAGAAATTAAATTATATCTCTTAGTTAAAATATATATGATATATTTGATACTCATAAATTAATATTTAATTTATATATACAGATATATAAAATATTAGTTAAAAGACTCATAAGTTAAAACCAACTTTGAGTTGGATTAACCAGAAAGTCCACAAAGGACGTGAGGCTCTCAAAATCTCATGAGTAATGGGATTAGTAGTTTACGTATAAGGTCCAAAAGGACTTGTTGGCTACTTTGTCCTATTGTGAATAGGATTTGTATTTTACAATATAAAATTATAAGAAGTGCAATATTGAGAATTGATCCTCACGTCAGTCACGGTCTTCACGTTTCCCTTAACCTAAATTGATAATTTGGTGCTCGAGTATATATAGATACGCACATCACCAAATAACGAGAGGAAGTGAAAAACTTCAGATGAGCCGCAAGAATATCACTTTGTGAAAGTGAGAATACAATACAAAGCCAAGAGAGAAAATACAATTGCAAGAAAAGTGTTTCTTGTTCTTCTAACATTGAGTTGAGATTTTTGAGAAAAATTTCAACACAATATTTCGTTCAATTTGTTCGCGGGTTTCATTGATCAAAGAGTTGATAGCAAGGATCGGTCTCGGTGTGGATACGCATAGAGTCTTCGCACTATCGAAGAAATTTTGAAACAAGACTTTCTTCACCGGGTACGTCTTAGATCCGATCTATTGACATGTAAATAAATTTTAAACACGAAAATATCTTCCTAGGATTGTTATTGTCTTCCGCTGCGTGTTACGAATACCTATATGCAATCCTTCACCATCGCCATATATAAATAACCAGACACACCACTCTCATCAATAGAACCATCGTTCCCGCCTTCCTCGCACCCTGGAGAACAACGAAAGGCAGAAGAAAGAAAGGCTCAGATCTGGACGGAAAACAGAGAGTCTGAGAGAGGAATCTTAGGAGGTGGTCGTTTTCTCAAAAAATGTTGTTTATCATCTTTGATATCGGATTTGGTTTAAAAAATGGATGCGAGTTTGAGGTTTGAAGCTGGTTCGTCGCCGTCCGAGGTTCACGGTGGAATTCTTTGTTGCTGTTACAATTTGGATTCGACTTGTAATTGCTCTACAAATCAAACTGGTTAAAGAAATATTGCTCAGGTCAATCCCCTCTCCTTTATATCTCGGTGTTTATGTCCGAAATTCGATTAAAGCTGGAAATTAATTGCTACTGTCGTTGCGTTACGTGTCCGTTTGAGTTTCCGATTTGAATTCCGATCGAGATCGTTGGTATAATTCCCATCTGGTCAGTTGTTCCAGCTTCGTTTTTCTGTCCGTGTTTCAACTTGTGCGAATGTCTGATTTGAAAACAGTGCATATGTTTGATCTGTTCAGTTGTTTTTCTCCTATTTTACTGCTTATGAAATTATAGAATTGTGTTGTTTCTATGATGGTCCAAAAATCAGTGGGATTGAGTTAGCTAGCTGATTTTGATTTAGATAATATAGAAATCTACTTGTGCTTTCATTTGGTGTCCTTATATATTCCCACAGTATGATCGTTTTGGAATCAAGTGACTCTTATCGTGAATATGAGTGAATCAGTGGGGCAGAGGATTGGAATTGGTATAGAAATACATTGCTTGTTGCTTTCAAGAGTTGGATTCTATGAGTTGTTGAACGAATCTGTGGATAATCGTGACCAAAAATTGATGTTCGTTTGTTAATGAGTGAGATTATAGTGTTGGCATTACTATTTCCTCATTTAGTCATAAGAACTAATAGGTTTTAAAAAGTTAAGTGGCTATGGCTTTGAAATGCAATAGGGGCTACATTTGCAATGGGATAAAATGGCTAAAATCATTTTCTGTGTTAACAGGCCGTTTTTCCATCTGATTGTCCATCTGATTGTTGGAAGTGAGAGTTGTAGGAATTAAGTTTATGTATATTAACCTAATTTCAGTTGTAGTATCTCAATGACCTTCTCTGCATATTAGTTCAAATTGCTAGTTTTATAGAAAATTTGAGGCGTGTCATGCCGAATAAAATCTCAATTGCATGGTCCTCATTTAATTAATCTCGCTTTTCCTTTAGAATTCGAGGCGTGCCATTTAGTTGAATTTTCGTGGCCCTCGCAAATTGCAAATGCGTAGTTGCTTTAGGCACGTTTTAATAATCTACCTTCCTAAACTCGGGTGCGCATTTATGTGACCCAAATCCAAATCTCAACAACGTTAGATAAAATGTGTTACGGACTGCGGGTGCATTTATGTGACGTGGTTCGAAACATATTTTAAATAACGTTGCAATCTTCCTGTAATTAATTAAATAAAAGCGGTTTAAAAGTTAAAATTTGCACATAGGTCCATAATTGTTTAAAATCAAGTAATTAAGCCAAATATAACAGTTGAGCGACCGTGCTAGAACCACGGAACTCGGGAATGCCTAACACCTTCTCCCGGGTTAACAGAATTCCTTACTCGGATTTCTGGTTCGCAGACTGTTAAACAGAGTCAACCCTTTCCTCGATTCGGGATTCAACCGGTGACTTGGGACACCATAAATCTCCAAGTGGCGACTCTGAATCTCTTAATAAACGGATCCCGTTTCGATTGTCCTTTAATTGGAAAAACTCCTTTATGCCCTTGTGGGTGTAGTGAAAAAGGAGGTGTGACACAAAGTACGGCTATTCCTCCTGAAATTCCTTCAGCGGGTGATTGAGCCAAATGTGTGAACCCAAAGTCAGACTTGAGATGTTCGTGATCTTACATGTGAGTTTCCAGTAAAGCCACTAGAGATGGTTTGTGGTAATTGAGCATTGAACGAAAGTTCCTTTTGAACTCAGGTGACTGAGCTCCTCTACAGTTCCATATGACAAACTGCATGGATTGATTATTGAGCGAACTTGGTGGAGTCTCCCTCTTCATTGTTGAGGACCTGTTCATCAGTGCTGGGATTAACACTATTGCAAACTTTCCCACCTCTGGGTTTCTTGTTGGACGTATGTTTTGTGAAACACTTTGTAGCTCGGGTGGACAAGTGATTATACTTTTTTCTTGAATCTTGTAGTAGAATTTCTTTTTTGAGAAAAACTAATGTAGGATTCTTGTAATCTCCTTATTTTCTTTATTGGATGTCCCCGAAGGAACTAGCAATTTTCTATAGAAATAGTGCTTTTGTTTTTGTCATATAAATTTCTCGCTTTTGGCATGATGAAAGCTTAAGATTGAGCCATCTTTATATATTTTATACAAGAATGATACATGTTTATACATTATTTTACGCTTTTATAAAAGATTCTTAGATACATGCTTATATAGGCGTGTAAATATTATATAACAATGTATAAGAATGTATAAATATTATTGCAAAAATAACGTAGACTATGCAGTGTACGCCGCAAATATGGTTACGTTAGTGCGATGTATTGTGTTTGGTTGTATATTTGTGCAAATTTTCCCAAATCGAATGGATTCAAATACCATGTTGATCGTATACATAGAGAGAAATTAAAATGGTTCCCCTTAAGATTGTTAATTCATTATTTTTACTATAGAATATATTTTCCGTAAAGAACTAATTAGAAAGCATGGATACGCCAATATTCACTTACTAATCAAAAGAAAACTTGTGGAGAAAATATGAAACGGCACTCACAGTGTACAATGTTACGAAGCATAAACACGATTTACAGAGCACTTATAATTGAGTATACAACTTAAAATGACTTTATTTTTGGTGGAAAATATTTTCCTTCCTACCAAATATACCTTATAAGTCTCCTATTTTTCTTCAATCTCGGCTATTTTGGAATTCTTCACCTCCTCTTTAGAAACAGTCACAATGAGCACACCATTTTCACTTCATTTATTTTTGCATCCATTAATTTCAGTGTTAGTGACAACACGGTCAAGGACTTTTGGCTCTTTTACGTTGATACGGGTGACCAAAGTGATCAGCAGCTTGATCACATGTTTGATAAATTCTCCTCACACTCAGTTTCAGAGCTGAATCAATTGATTCACTGGTCTCCTTTTCTCCCTATACTTGGAACCAAGACTCTATTTGAACGTTTGAGAAAGTTAACAGTAAATAATATCTGAACAAAATGAACTTACATAACAGCATTTGCTCATTTATATGCCCTGACTTACAATTTTATTCATTGATTGATAAGAGTTGCTTTTGGGCATGCTTCTCCTTTTAAGAGTTCATTTACAATATCCAGATTATATGAAGACGACAAATCATCCCGCTTTCCATTCGTAACTCCGATCCAAAATCAGGCAAAACACGCTTCAATCCCTCTTAACAAATCGCCCCTGCAAATAAACGAAACAGCGAAAAAAGTTAAAGCCAACATTAGAATATGATCTGCTGTCAAGACCATGATATATATTTACATTTACATAGGGTAAGAGAGTCAAATTTAATTTGCTCATGTACTATAGAGTACCTTAATGCGAGGGCGCTTTTCAGCATTGAGCTTCCGAACTTCGTAGCGGATTTTTTTGCAGAAGAGCCTGTTCTGTCTCTTTTCTTTGTATCTTAATACACTGGCTTCTCTTCGTCCTACCTTCAACTCATCCTCTTGTAAAATTTCTGTGGCTCTACCTCCACTTTGTTCACTTGCCATAACTTCTGGCACTCTATATACAACTGTACTGTTATCCCAGCCACCCATTAGTCCCTACACAATTCACACCAAGAATGAAAACAATATGCCCCATCAGCAGAGGTGGATGTATACTTCATATGAATCTCAATGTTTTTACATATTTATGCCTAAAATTTACTAAAACTGCAACAAATAGAAGAAATGCATACCACCAAATGCTTGATGTTGAACACACACGCATACTTATAACAGAATATTTGCTTCAGTCTGCCTAATTTGCGGAAAATAGGCTAACATTTCCAACGTATCAAAAGAAAGGTAGTCTTCACTTATATTATAAAAGAAAAACAAAAATCCAAAGTTAGCTAGCTTATGTAAGAATCAAACATAAATTAAATTGAAGTCTGTATGTCCTATATTCTAGAGTAATTAACCCAACACCTGACTATAATCAACTTATAATTTTATTACACTTCTCCATCTCACGAAAATAATGTAATGACATTCATACTTCTATGCATTATTTTGTCCAACTATTGTAATTCACATTCACATTAATTTATCGTCAACCGAGAAGACGGTTACGAAGATAAAGTAATGCGAATGTCAACTATAACATACTAATAAAATAAATTGTCGTCCTCCAAAAAGACAATTATAGTGTTGTCAATGAAGTAGAAGGAGAACCATGAGATCTCTTAGGCGCAAATTTCAGCTAAGACAAAAAAAACTATGTGTAGAAGGAGAACCATGAGATCTCTTAGGCGCAAATTTCAGCTAAGACAAAAAAAAGACTATGTGATCTAGTCCGATTGACTCAGCTTTAGTTGACAGAGTTATCCAATACTTATATTGGTGGTAGGTAGCGGTATCCAGTGAATAGATGAAGTGCGCAAGCTTGGACAGATCCGTCAGTTATAGAGTTGTAGGACCAAACTTCACATGTTTTTCTTATGTGTTTATGGAGAGGTACAGTTACTTTCTGAATTAATCGTGGATTCCTAACCTACAGCTTGCAAACGAATAAGGACACGAACAGCTTCAGCTAATTAAGTAAAAGCGAAATTCACAGGGGTCCCAATAACTCAGGCCAATCAAGTACTCAGTACTATACACGGTTTCAACATTAAAATGCATCAATCCGCCATTTAACCTAAAAATTTCCGAGGCACTACTATTATATTTTGGCATTTACAGCTCTAGGGGACTCCTTATGACTGTTTTGCCTCAGTTAGTACCCTATTTGATGCCAACAACAAAGTTCTAAAAAAAAAAACGAGAAATATTTTCACCCAACGAAAACTAGAGTAGAAGGGGAGCCTGAGCCTTGGCGTAACTGATAAAGTTGCTGTCATGTGACCAAAATGTCACGAGTTCAAACCGTGAAAACAGCCTCTTACAAAAATACAGGGTAAATAGACCCTTGTGGTCAGACCTTTCCTCGAACATCCTGCACATAGCGAGAGCTTAGTGGGCCTGACTGCCCTTTTATTTTTTGCCAACGAAAACTACAGTAGTAAAAGAATGGAAAAAGAAAATTATAGTGTCTAGGCAGTCTCAGACGGCAGAAGAAAGAGACTCCTATCTAAAGGTGAAACTGCCTCGAGGTAATGCCCTATCTTATCTTATCTTATACCGCTGACCAAGATTTCACCTATTTATTTATTCTCTTTTGCAAAATTAAAGTTGCTTCAACTACTTTTTCAATCTAAAACTTTTCCTATTACCATATTACCAATCACTGCTCATGTTCAAATATTTTGTTTTTAATAGATTTATATCAAATAGTACTACTTGACAATTATAAAAAAATGTTATATACTAATGCTACTACTTTACACTATATTTGGTTCTAAGAGATTGCACTTTCTTCCTTGGCCCTAATTTTAACAAAATGACAAGTGACAACTAACCGCGATATAGCAAGCCTTAATCATAAACTTAAACCTTAATTGATTAAAATAAGGTTAGAAAATCTCACATGGGATGAAAACGACGTTTCGTAATAATTGAGAAAATCGTCATGGATATCTGGAAAGTTCTGCGGGGATTCTGCCTGAAGGTAAAGCGAACCCTTATCGGACCAAGCATTCAGTATTTCCTCATAATCAAGCTTTAAGGACAACTGCTGATGTTGTTGATTTCTCTTCGTCGGACGATCAATTGAACAACTACTTACTTCCTCGTCCTTCCTCGTCGTCTCACTATGTTGGTCAAGATCAACAACGTCGGAGTAAACAACCCACTTTTCTTCTTCCTTGTTTTCCCTCTCTTTGTTCCTCAGAGCTGTCCGTACTAGTTCACCTTGCTGTCCCCTGTAAGACACAGTCAAATGGATCATGACAATCAATATACTCAGCGGTGAAGCAAGAGTTGAAAGGAGTAAAAAAAAATTCCGCATTCAATATATATTATATACATCTAAAATCTAATATTTTATTTTTATATATATAATATAATTTTTAATATTTTGACGGAGGGTGATCAATTGACTATCCTTAGCAAAAGGTGGCTTCGCCCCTGATTAGACTCATCCAAATCCAAGTTTAACTCAACTCTTCAATTTATCACCTTTACCTGTAAGTTTCGGCATACTTTAGTCTTGCTTCCGATGATGAAACTGTCATGTAATTTGGACCACTTTGGTTGCTATCATTTTCATCCTTAGAAGAAGTGAGAAGTTCGGTAAGAGTATTGGCGCTGTTTTCAGCGCCGGAAAAAAACAGGGCCACGTTCTCATCGTGGCCACTGTCTTTGTCGTCGACCAAATTTTCTGGGTGTAGAGGAAAGAGATTGAGCTGTTGAGAAGAATTTTGATGATCATGGGTGCTAGCTGCGGATGATGCCGGCATGTGATGATTTGATGGTTGAGATATTTTATCAGAAAGCTGAAGACTAAGACTTAGAAACTTAGGTTTTCTCCGCCTGTTTTTCGTTTTGGATTTACGATTTTTCTTGCCCATGGACATACTCAGATCTCTTCACTTGGCCTTCTTGGATTTTACACTGCGGCTCAATAAAATAAGTGACAAAGAGTTGAGAAAAAGTGTAGTCTTTGTGGGGAAGACTTGAATCTTTGATGATGCTTTTGGTGATTGAACAGAGCAAAGGTCAGTGTCGATATCATGGTGTGCTGATCTAGCTGCGCTTTTTGACACGTGGAGGTTTGTTATTGGACGAGAATGTAGATTGTGTTGTTATCTGGATTACGTTGCTGGTGCCTTGGATATTTTCGTGCAAAGTGTAAATGATGGGAGTAACAGAGTCTAGCAAGAGGGTAAGACTATTCCCGTGTTTGATTTTAATATCACACCTAACATTAAAGCACAATGTTGCGGAACTCTAAAATTAGGTTGAGAGCTTTATACAAATAGCTAGTCAGGCTCTCTTTTTACTTCTAGCAGGTATACATAATTATACATGAATTACACACCATTATATAAATATTATGTATCGATTCTACATATATTATATGTTCACCAGTTATTTTTAGTTTAAGCGATTGCGTCAGTAGTTATTTAGGTTAATTCTCTTAAAAAAAGAGAAAATGGTAAGAAATAATTAAAAGGGATCTTTACACAAATAACCGGCTAGTTTTATTGTTTACTTTTTCTAGACAGTATACATAGATTATAAATCAATTATACATGATTATACATATATTATACATAGACTATGCATATATTACACAATCGCCGGCTATTTCTAGTTTAAATAATTGAGTGAGCTGCTATTTAGGTTTGACTAGTTAACCCAAATAGCCGCCCACCCAACTGCTTAAACTAAAAATAGTCGGTGGATATATAGTATATGCCTAATTTATGTACTATATGTGTGTAATTGTGTATATTGAGTCTATACTATGTATATGACTAGAAAAAGTAAATAATAAAGATGGCTGGCTATTTATGTAAAGATCCCTTTAGGTTTAGTGGGCATTGGTTCAGGTTTCCAACCCAAACTGTGGAAATCCATGTGGAAAGCCCAATCAGAGGGCATTGGTTCAGGTTTCAAGCCCATAACCTTGTCCAAAAGCCCAAACCTTGCAATTCCAAATTACGTGTAATGTGTAAAAGTAGTAAGTTAGGACTTAGGACACTGCATTTGCACAGGAACACTATCTTACAGATCTCTGCTGTAAATTGTATAATCTACATTGCAACTACTTGTCCAAGTCAGCTTTTCCCCGTGGCCTGTGGGAGAAAATGAAGACTCTACACTTTGAATTAGTTATTTTTCTATTAGGCTTTAACAAAGTTCTATTCATTTGGATCAACTTATGTCTTTCTACTTTTATCAAGACACATTAGGTTATTAAATAAGTAAAAATAATAAGATTTAAACTTAGTAAATCAAATGGTTTGTAATAGAATTCTGAAGTACCAAATTTAGTACATAAAAGTATAAATTTCGGGGTATTATCACTTTTAGCCCGTACCAGAAACTATTTTCATCTAGTAGCCGAAAAAGTATATAAAATTATATAAATTTTATATACTTTTTCGGCTGTTATTTTTATAGCGGCTATACAGTATCGTGTTTCCAATAATTTCGTTCCTAAAGATGTGGGCCAACTTGAATCCTCTAAATAGTTTACATTGACTTATCAAAAAAATTTGTCAAAAAATAGAGAAATTTCTCATTTATTGAAAGGATATGTGGGCCATGAGCATGTGGAATTAGTGCACGTCAACCAACCGATAATTTTGACTTACGGTTTTACTTTATGTTTAAACGGTAGTAACAATCATACTGCCCGTGTTTTAGATAACAATAGACTCCCTTTTTTTAACCTTTGGAAAGTTTGCTCGATAGGAATTAAATCTAATATCCAATTCGAAATTCAAAAAATTTAAAAATTAAATCCAAAATTCAATTCGAAATTCGAAATCCAAACAAAATATTCAAGAAATTCGGATTTCGCTTTAGATTTCGGGTTTGCCCAGATTATGCCCACCTCTAATTGTGAGTTTGGCTCTATATCACTAGCATCAACCTTAATTGATGGAAGAAATGCCTCTTATTTCGGCTCGTGCGACAAAATGTTACTCCGCCCAATTCTCGATAAACTATATATGCACTTCTTAACATTTATCCATGGTTAAATAATACTACATCTATTTTAGTTTAGATGACATATTTTAGTTATCGAAAATCAAATTGTGTAAAATATGATCAATATTTTAAAATACATTTTTATCATATTTGTATGGGTCAAAATTAGGTCTAGCTTGGCGAATGCATGCGAAAGAACTGAGACCGAGGTCGAAATCCTGTATGGTCTAGTGGCGAGGAGCCGCTCGAAGGAAAAGACCCGTGTCGAGGTCGCGTAGAGAGCGACGACTGTAATTGTTAGAATGTTCCTGTAACTGTGAATAGGAATATTCTATTGAATATTCCTCCACATTGTACCTTTCTAGGGTTTCTAAGGATATCCCTTATAAATAGAAAGAGAGAAGAAATAAAGAGGGGATTCGGAATCTTTGTAAAAAACATCTTGTAAAGAGTTGACTAATCGGATATACACAAAAAAGCTTGTTTTGTCTCTCTTGTTTGGTTCCACCACGTAACATTCTTCTTTAGCTCACAAGTTTCGATAGTGCATAACACTCTTCACTTGTCTGATGTCACGTGTTGTATAGTCAGAGGAAGGAACCATCTATCTCATCCAACCTTTGGGTGACAAATTCCTTCTTATTACATTTAAGGCCATTTATCACATTTATTGCATGTTTCTATCCTCGTACTGATTGTTAGTCATAGAATATTAACTCGGCGTTTTATCAACTTGGACACGGACTCATACCGCTTAGGTTAATCAATTTCGGATCTAGAATCTATTACTTTTAACTTGGATTCACCCTTCATCTCTTTATTAGATTGGTTTAACTAAAGGGTTCAAACTTTTTAGTCAAACAATCTTGACATAAGAAAAATTATAACTATAGTATTTTTAATATAATTTTTGAAAATTTTAATTTTAATTTTAGAATATTGAGTTAAACTTATTCAATTTAGCTTCAAAGTTTAGTTAAATTAACTCTCGATAAGCAAAATGTATTAGTTCGATTGAAGTATAACTCTTAGATTAACTGTTTATTAAGTGTAAATACTCAGGGTCGGTAAGTACCTCTTCGGTTGCTTCTTGTTTAGTAGTTTACATATTTAGGGGTCGTTTGGTAGGGTGTATAAGAATAGTATTGAATGTGATGTATTAATAATATTGGGATTAATAATGTTAAAATTAGCCTACTAGGATTATTTATGCTGTTATTTCTTATCAAATATTTGAGGAAGTGGTTAGAGTTAGGGGTGTACAAAGGAAATCGAGAAATTGCACCAACCCGATAATCCGAGTCAAACCGAGAAAAAAAAATCCGACTATGATTTGGTTTGATTTGGTTTGGTGTTGGAAAAAAAAATCCGACCATAATTGGTTTGGTTTGATTTTAACTAAAGAAAGTCAAACCAAAACCAAACCAACCCGATATTACATATATAGAAATTTTAGATATATTTATATATAAATATACTTATTGTGATGTAATTTATAAATATTTCTTAAATTTTTTCATAATTTTATCTTTTACGATATTATTTCAAGGTTGGATTTAGAACTTTTGAATGTTCCAATAAGTTTTATAGCCATTAATATTTGCAACTTAAATAATGCTAACTAAAGCCCAAACCAAAATCAAATCAATACTAATGTTAACAAAAGACATTCAATTCAATACTACGAACGGCAATGTATTGAATATCTATTTTTTATTTTGCAATAATTTAGATAAAAATGCATAACTTATTTTATTTTTTCTTTAGCGTTTAGTCATGTAATTAATACTCCCTTGTTAGTTTACTTATTTTAGCATGACTTAGTACTTTTAGATTATGTTTATTTTTTATTATGAATTTCTAATTAGCAATATTTATATTACATAATTTTATTCTATTTATTGTTGAATATTTTAGGATAATGCCATGACACATCTCATATTTTGTATATTTTCTTGGGAAATACCTTATATAGTTATATCTTACTAGGATTAAGGAAATATTTTGAGCACAAGTCATATATCTTGTGCTACAAAGATTTTAGCGGTAAAAACCCCGAAAAATCCGAAAACCCGAGAAAAGTCGAGATTGAAAAATTCTAGTTTTACTGGTTTGGTTTGGTCTTTAGATTTAATAACCCGACACAATTGGTTTGGTTTAGTAATAATTATAAAATTCAAACCAACCCGACCTATTTACATCCTAGTTAGAGTACATGTTTTCGTGAGGGAAATATACTGTGGATTGACATGTGGAAACATATTTGGACACAGTTCAGAAATCACTTTATTACCTAGTAAATAATGTCACAAAGAGAAACACTTTGCCGTGCATATATAACAGCATGGCAGCTAACTTTATTAGCATTTATTTTCCAGGATCAAATTGATCGTTTTTCAACAAGACATTTATTTTTATTCCCTCGTGATTTAAAGAATATTTATTCAATCACATCGTTTTAAACAACCTAGAGGTAAGTGTCTACACTAATTTTGGACTAGTAATCTAAAGGAGTGTGTAAAAAACTTTGGAATCTAAAACCATATTGCTGGAAAATTTTCAGTCACTAGCTGCTGTAAGAGTATAAAATATTGAAATGATTACAATAGTTGTTGTTAATTAAATCCCCCACGAGCTTAGAATTCATAAGCATACGCAGCATAATCAGATTCTTCGTTTACCAATTACCATTTTGGTCGCCGTAATCACATGCAATGTTAGTTTCTACTTTCTACTAATCTCTACTAGAGATGGGCCATGTGCTTTTATCATTGTTTTCAACGGGGTGGGAAGGCAAACATAGAATACTGGAAGGCTAAATACAATAGGCTTTTGAATACAGAGGATAAGAAAGAGAAAAGGGAGTATTTTTTCTATTTTGTATTTTTAAAAAAAAAATTGGAATTAGTTTAAATTATCTTACAAATAAGGAATGAGAGCCTTGGTGTAACTGGTAAAGTTGTTGCCATGTGATTAGGAGGTCACGAGTTCAAACCATGGAAACAGCCTCTTGCAGAAATGCGAGAAATGCAGGGTAAGACTGCATATATTCCCCGGACCTCGTACATAGCGGGAGCTTAGTGCACCGGGATGCCCTTTATCTTACAAATAAAAGTTGTACTTTGAGTGGTCGTTATTCTACGAGGTTCGAGTCTAAGGTTTTTGAGGTTGTCTTTGTTAGAGAGCAAATTATCCCCAAATATGAGACTTTCCTCTGAGAATACGAATTTTAAGAGATAATTTTATCCATGGTCATTGAACTTTTGT